GATATACCCGAAACTTGGCCAGTGCGTATTTCATGGCAAGTAGTTCCTTGTCATGAACCGGATAATTTCTCTCAGCTGCTTGCAGCTGACGCGATTGATAACAGATGACGCGCTCAACGCCGTCTGAGTCGTACTGCGTTAACGCACACCCGATTGCAAAATTGCTGGCGTCACAGAACACATGAAATGGCCTATCCTGATCTGCAATCGCCAAGACAGGCGATTGCTCCAAGCTGATATTGACGCCTTCAAAAAAATGCTGACACTCAGCACTCCATGACCACCTCTAGTTTTTCTTTAGCAGACGAGAGAGATGTACGGTCACCTCGGCATAGTTGCGCGAGTATTTGTGCGAGTACTTCGCCAAGCCAAGGAACTTTTGAAGTCCCTTGACGTCGAATGGAACAGGCCAGCCGCTAATCGCCTTGATCTTTTCCGGATCAGGGCGTACGTCGTTTTTACCCACGATGCAGCCAAGAAGTGGTGTTAGTTCGCTGCGAATATGCACTTCTTGAGGTTCGCGAACAACTTACGCTCACGCATTAGTGTAAGAACCTTCCGGACGTGGATTCTATGAACCTCCGCGTCCGTCTTTCCGTCTATAGCTCGGCTATGGACGAATACATCGTCGAAGAAACTCGGTGCGAAGTCGCGCACCGATCGCAATAGATTTGTAACACATCTGTTAAACGTTGCGGGGGCGTTACTTAGCCCCTGTGGCATCACTAGCCACTCCCAAAGCATACCACTGAAGGTGCTCACTGCTGTGTAAGGGATATCCCGTTCACGCATGAGGATCTGGTAGAATCCATCCATCAAATCTATGGATGAAAAGATGGTACTCTTTGCCGTACCATCAATGATGACGTCCTACCTCGGTATTGGCGTCTAATCCGGTACCGTTGCAGCATTCAATCTGTTGAACGTGTGCACTATCCCCCACCCGTCTATGGAATTTCGCACATAGAAGGTCGGAGAGCTTTGTGAGTATGCTGACTCCATCATATGACCAGCCGCTAAACGTTCGGCAAATAATTTGTCGATCGCTGTGACCTGTTCACGAGGCAGTGGCCACTGCTTCAGGACACAGTACTTCAAACCGGGTTTCAGTTCGATCTCATGCCGGGTGCCTTTGTCTTTGGGAAGCTCGCATGGCACGGATTCCGGGAAAAATCCTTGAATTCCACCAAATCCTTATACAAAGGATTTGTCTTCAAAGACTCCCATGATTGAGACGTGTATCGATCAATCCGGACCTTCTCATCGAGAACGCTCTCGTCCATTGATGAGCTACTGAGAACCCGTGTGCTCTCAGTAAACACTTGTGCCGACCGAATTTCGGCGACGTACTCGTCCTCTATGACGAGTACACAGATCTGCTTGATCTTGTCACTACGCAGATCTCACAAAAACATTTTAAATTCTAGGGTTGGCAACTTGATTACCTCCGAAGCTGACTTCGGGGGCGTCACCAGATCAAGTGTATAAGCGCCTACACTTGATCCGTCATTCACCGAGACATTAACTGACTCGGTGCTTTTCTGGGAAAACACACCCGCAGGTGGTTGGGGATCCACACCCTCAAAATAACTTTCTCGGGAGTTACCGCTCCCAGGAACGCCGGAATTTTCTTCCGTTACGGGTACTATCACGGTCACGTCCTCTTCTATCGACTCTCTTTCAGCAGAGCGGGCTTGCTCTACGATCGACTCTCTGATAGTCGATCTCGCTTCAACGTGTTGTCCATCCTGAACAACACTAGTCTCTCTTCTCAGATGCACCCTTCTTGGTGTGCATCCGTGTTCCAGTCCACTCGATCTCTTCGAGTGGTGAACCTTTGGCGCAACCTGTGTCTCTACACAGGTGCCGGAAGCTGATTACACAGCGCAGTGGCTTTCTACACTGTGATCTTGTGCAATCGTACTAACGACCGTACCACAATTGAGGCCATCGCACTCACTCGTAGTACATCCACACGCTTATGAACGCTCCAAGACGCTCATCAGATGGTTACCTGATGAACAAACGGCAGGCATCTTCACGGATCGATGCTGCTAGCTAACCCATGGCCGATACTTTCTAAGCCATGGCAGACCGATGATGACATCAAATTTGTCATCCAAATCTAATACGATAAAGTCATCATCGTATTGTTTTCCTTCTAGCGTGTAGTGGATTCCCAGTACACGTTTGTTCACTGTTACGGATGCGCCTGTAGTAAGGCACACCGTCATCCTTGTTGGAGGGAACTCTCGCTCAACATAATTTCGACTACTATCTCCTTAGCGACTAACAAGAATAATGAAACTGTTCGATGCCCCAGGGGGGGAAGGCAACCCCTCTTCTTCATGTGAGGGGCCCCCCAGAACAACCGATTGTGGGGCCCCCCACCGGGGGCGGTCATTACGTCCTGTGTATGGACGTGAAATGATGCTTGTTACACTACACTTATAATCGAATTTAACGATCTCATGACAGCGATGGCATCTTGCCGTTCGCTTGTGACTCGTATAGCGAGAGTGATCGCTCTCGATGTAACAGAGGTCCATCGGTTCAGGACCTCCTATTTCCTGTCGTCTCGTCGAAGGATAGTTGAACGAGTTAGCCTGAGACTGTCTCAGGCTAAAGTCTCCCTTTTTCCGCATGCGCTATCGCCTTTTCCAGCGTATGGAAGTCCTCTCGGAACATGTGGGTCTTGACCGGTCCATTTGACAAGGCCGTAGATGAACACGTTGGTGACTGCATGCTCATCAACAAGGTATCCCTTGTTGCTAATCGCAAGGTGGCGTAGGTGTTGTGCGTAAGCGTGCATATCACGCTAAAATTTCTTGAGCCTTCGGGTTGCAGAGCGTGCTCTGCTCTCGGCTCTCGGCGGTTCAAGCGTGTCTTTGAGCCGAGATTTCAATATCTCCAACGACTCAAACACGTTTAAATCGTGAAGCTTGAGCCCCAAAGCCCAAGGCTTTGCTCGTCCTGTCAAGTGTGACAAGACGAAGGTGACTTGCACCTTGTCACTCTGGATGAGACGGGCCCTGATGGCGTCGTCCAACTCGACGAACCATCTCAGAAGGGAATCTTCGTCGGTTACCTTGTACCTTAAGATGTCAATCTTCAAGGTTTCGGGTCGACGCATGTGCTTCGGTCCGCCCATCGACTGATGAGAGCCTTGCTGCTGTAGCATTACTATCTTCTGTCTTTCGACGGCAAGTTCCCCTTGTAGGAACTTGCTGATAGCAGCATGTTGCTGGTCTCTGCTTAGAGACTCCAACATACCACTGATGGCGGGTTCGCCCATGAGCACACTCATGCGGCCGACTACCTCCCATTTCTGAGTCACTCAGGTGGGAGTGGCCTTTACGTTTGACGCGAAAGCTGTCGTCTTCTACGTCCAACATGTTCATGTTAGACGGACACTATGTAGTCGTTGGACGGACTACGAAGTGCTACCAGGTGTATCGAGGCATTCTTTGTTAGGGGTGCCGCGAAACTTCACGTACCAAAGTACGTGCAGAGGAAGCTAAACTACTTGAACGACTCGATCAAGTAAAGGTGAAAAGAGAACTGTATCTAATATAGTTAAGCTATCGATTTACCTTTAATCTTATCTATCTATATTAAACTACGTCGTCGTATGACGACAACCTGCTCACCACTCATTGCGCGCGTCTAGCAGCGATTGGTGGTAATCTATGGTTGATATGTCTTATGTCAGCCAATCTTGGAGTAGTGAATGAATATAATCCATCTCGGATAATATCAGTAGAATATTGTCATGCGAGACAATATTCCAATTGACACCGTTTGGTGTCAAATTCATGATACAAGCTACCCGTTTACATCAACCCCCTTTAACCATCAATCACCCGTTGATTAAATTAGAATTATTTGGGTTAGGAAGACCGCCGTTGGATCACTCTGGGAAAGGGAGCACTTGATGGTCAAATTCCATTCACTAACCGAAATACGCATGGTTGCAAATATCAAGCGACTTACTACTATAGCAGCAAGTAATGCGACTGCACGCATGCGTGCAGCCGGGGAGAGTACTTCTCACATCTCAGTAGTAGGCGATTCGTCGCCTGCTGCTGTGAACTTCACACGTGGTGACTAACCACGTGCGACGGGTACATCCGCTGCGTCTACAACGGGTACCGCGAATCGTAATCCAGATGAGCCTAAAATAGAGCTCATCTTTTCAGTCGAGTCGGATGATGCATCCGAATCGAAGGCGACACCTCACGCCTCCGGATCATTTGGGGCGGACACTGCAAGAGCCAGGTTGACTAGCTCTGGGCAACGTGGCGGCATCATGCTCGAGATCTTCGGATCGAGCGATCGTTCCGACGAATCCTCGCCTCACGCAAGTCTATCCAACGACAGGACGCGTGGTGATGGTGGCGCTGCACCAATACATCACCACGAGCGAACTAATTCAAAGGATCGAGGTGTCACTGGTGTCAGAGCTCGTGCTGACACCAATCAAGAGGCCAGGGACCGAAACGTCTTGCGCCACGCTCCTCAAGTGGAGTCTTCTTGGACGCCGTCATCCAAAGAGTTGTATCAAGTGGCCGACATGACCACCGAACGGTTCGAAACCTGTTGTCCGACTGTAGGTGGACCTGTCCTCCTAATTACAGCACGGAAAGTATCCGTCCTGAGGAAGAGTTCTTCACCGATGCATTTTTCAAACATCGATAGTACTACAGCAGCCGTGGCCGAGACGGTAAGGCCTTGGTGCAGGGATGGAATGACCTCATCCATAACATCGAGTGTATTGGCCGTGAGGCTTGGCTCGCTAAACTTGATGCAGTTAGCATCAGGTTTGAGAACCGTAACCCAGCCGGGGCGCGATACAAGTTGCACCGGCTGCCGCGAGAGGCAGGATTGCCGTGTCTCTCGTGGGGTGATTCGTGTCCAGGTTGCCTGGACAACTCGAACCGTGTCCCTAGGAGGCTTACCTCCCAAATGATCCCTACTGGAGGGCGCGCATCTCTTCCGAGATGGGCGAAGGGATCGACACTTTGCACCCTGTACTCGCGTTCGGGGAGGTCGTTTTCCGACGTCCTTCTTCGAACGAAGCGGGTGGGTCTCGTCGAAGTGCTCGAAGAGACCAAGGACATCAACAATCAGCTGGACACGAGGCTCCCAGCTGTCCCACGCCGGTGGATAGCCACGCCAGCGGACGAGGTAACTCGTCCGAACGCCATTCATATCGCGGTGGTTCAAAACACGCTCCACTAGTAAGCGTTGACCACCGCTTGAGTCCACCAAAGGATGTGGTGGCGGTTGTAACATCCGATCCGGCTCTAAGGTTGGATCAGTTTGATGGTCAAGAGCTGAACCATCTAACGGAACAGTCGCAAGATGACTTGGCTAATGAACGATCTCGGCTTTATGGGCTTGAGGATCGTGTGAGGGGTAACGAGAATTGCTTGGCACACGATCGCTTGGACGATCGTGCCGCTTTTGCGTTTGTGGTGGAGTGGGGTTCTCTCATTTTTTGAGGCGATCCCGACTCTCCACTGGCGCCCAGACGACCGACTAACGGAGGGGGTACTCCGATTCTGCTTGCACTTGTTTCCTTCTTACCTTGTGTACCCGTCGGCAGGGCGGGTTGCACTCTTCTAGGTGGACTCGACAAGATGCTAAACTTGACCGTTGTAGAGATTGGTGCTGATCAGATGAAAAATCCTCACCCGATCGCGTGTTTCTGGGTTGGCGCTCTCCTAGAGTCGCCGTGATCTGCCCTGATCACCATGTGCCAAATGTGTACTTGAGTCGCGAGCCTTTCTGGACACTTGAGCCGTCTCGCGATCTTGTACTTCAACCGATACGGTTGGCTGCGTCCGATCGCAGTAGGGGTGTGTTGAGAGTCCTAGCACTCCTGGCCAAATAGCTCCAGGAGTGATCGTTCTATCCTTGATGTCGAGATTGTCAGACATCGGGGGGCCAAAATAGCCAACCCGGGAGAAGATCGACACGAATTTGTTTAGAAGCAAATTGAACTCTTTATTACTCTGTTACCAAACAAATAGCTCTATTGGAATTACAAAATGCCTGGCCAAACTATCCAGGAATTGATACGTCTCGATGACACGCGTTGTCCTTGACATCGGGAGGCCAATATACGTTCCTGCCCGGAATTCCCTTGTATCTTGCGTAGACGGATCCATGTCGAATTTCTTGATCACATGGTTACTAAGTGCATAAAATCACGTTGAGAGACGAGCCCTGGCCAATCGATCCAGAAGCAGATACTTCTAGCACGCGTGGCAACATCTGTCTTCGGGAGGCCAATTTATGTTCCTGCCCGGAATGAAGTCGACATGTGCCCTTTGAGGTAAATTGAACTCTGTATAATGTTAACCAATCAGACCCTCACACCTTACCCCTATAACTCAGAAAATCAGATGACACTCGTCGCCTCTACAGATCGCCCCTTGTACCTATGTGGCACAGACCAGATCCAACAACCGTCTGATCGCATCAGGGCATGGTCCACGCCAGATCGCGGCACCTTGATCGTGGCCCCTGATCGCGGTCCCCTGATCGCGGTACCTCAATCGCGGCCCCTGATCGCGGTCCCTGATCTCGGTCCCCTGATCGCGGTCCTCTGATCGCGGTCCCCTGATGGCGGTCCCTCAATCGCGGTCCCTTGATCGAGGTCGTTTTCGCCGCTTGGAACCATTCTAACTGGACGAGATACTTCCGTGAATAATCCCAACGGTGCCATCCATATGATCGGTCCTCGTTCCACGATCGTTCCGCCGGTTCCCACTCCGTACTTAGGCATACGTTCGAGGTTTTACGAAACCGATCTTGATCGACTTTACCACAATCGCCCCCTGCACAAATAGCCGATCTGCAATATCGGGCTCGCTTGTGCACGTTTAAGTCACCACTTTCCGTTTCATCCTCCCGTTGCCTTCCATGGTTTCCCCGTAGTCCACGCCCAGCTTGCCACCAGCTAGTTGTGCGCCATCTCCCTCGGTGATGACGTAATCTGGTCCCGCACCTTCGGTAGGTGTTGACATTTTGCCACGCGAACACCCAAATGGCTCTGATTCCACTACAGACGCGGTTGAAGTTACCTCGGTGAGCGGAGGTCCGATCGGCCCTGATTTGGGAATCGATGCTGTTGTGGACCTCGCTTCAAGTACGGAACCGATCGGCTCCACATTGACGCCTGATGTACTTGACAGTTCTGCTGCGAGTGACGAGCCGATTGGGGTCGTAAAATTTGCTACAACCACTGATCCGATGAGCTCGGCGTTGACGCTTGATGTCGTCGACAATTTTGCTGCAAGTGGCGACCCCCGTTAGGGCTATTACGTTGCCGACCACTCGAGTTGAAGCACCTACAGTTGATAAAACGACCGCGGTCGGTATAATCGCTGGACTTTATCAGTGGATCGCATCCCAGCAGGATCTATTGGATAGCTGTCGCGATCTGGAGCAAGCGTTGCGGGAGCAAACTCGGAGGGGTGATCGACTAGAACGGGAACTCCGTTCTCTTACCGAGTCGGCCTCTCCTTTTGTGATCTTCGCTCAAACTCGTTGTGATCGCTTTCGTCTGGATTTGAATAATGCACTCGCTGAATCCGCCTTGCTTCAGGAGACAATTCGCGCGGGGATTTGCCACGAGCAGCAAATTAGCGACCTAAAGTCGAAATTTCTGAAAACGGCCCGATCACTTCATACGTTTAAAGAACGTCATGATCTCGAGCTGGCTTTCTTGCGACGGCACATGGATGAGGGGAACGCTCGATATTAAGCCGAGCTCTTATAGGCCAAATCTAAGAGAGCCAAGTACAAGGCAGACTGTACCAAGGCTCAGACCACGGTTCGCCAACTGCGTGCTGCCCTTGACGCTGTATCAGTGGAGCGCGATCAACTTCGGGATGATCTGGCTGAGTTGGAAGCTGAATATGACCGATCGTGCTCCTTGCTTTCCGAACGTGACGATGGGGTGGGTCTGCTTCAAGCTACTATCTCGCATTTGGAGCTAGAGCGCGATCAGGCGTTGCGCGATCGAGACGTTATTCGAATGTGCATTGCCGCGCTCATTACCGGCCCCAGATTACCTTCTTCGTCGCTTCCAGTTGAGACTTCCTTATCCACGAGTGCTCGAGTCAAACGCACTAGTACTTCCGCTCTAACCCCTCAGCCGCGGACCAAGAGAGCCAGAATCGAGGCTACCTTGCAGTCGGTCGTCAAGATGACACCCAAGACTCATTATCCGACTGCGTCCGGTATCGTCGCCGAGCCTTCTCCGCCGTGTGAAACTCCGAAGAACAACCGTTCCCGATCACCCCACAGTTCCACACGATCTCAAGCAAAACTTACGCCCAAGACTCCCGCTCTTCCCGGACCTGGTGTTCGAAAAGGCAAAGGCAGAGCGCGCAACCCGACGCCTGCTCCGGCTAGCTCGGATGATGATGATTCATCGGGTGCTGGGCCTCGAACCTTGGCTGCACTCTCCCGATCACGCTCTTCTTCACGGCGTAAGGTCCCGTTGGGTAATCCGACGACTCCGTCTTCTACGTTACCAGAGTTGATCGTAATGGATACCTCCAGCCCGGATGTGGATTCCCCCGCCTCCCCAGTTGCCGCTTATCTTAGGCCAAAACCCAAGGTTTTCTAAGTCGACTTGTTTGGCGAAGCTTCTAGCAGGTCGGAGGGTCCGATCAGCGTTACGGAAGACGTCCGAGCCCCAGCCAATAATCTGTTGTCTTCGGCCGAGTACAAAGATCTTCCTAAGACTAAGGTGCCCCAGGATCAGTGGATACCCGGGTATCACTGTCGCATACCAAAATCTTCTGTTTAAATTTCACCTGGGTATGCGCGCCGGGTGAGCTACATAAGCGTGTTGGAATTTGATTTGGAGTTCTTCTATCGCCATCTTGCCAGGCCCAAGCGTTACCCTTTTCCAGCCTCTCCTGCTGTATCGAAAGCACCTCCCATGTCTATGTGGTCTCCCCACTTGATTTCTTCGGCGCAGGTTGCCGCGCTTTATCGCCAGGATCCCTAAAAATTTTGTGCGTGAAGATTGCGCCCATGTCTTAACAGCCCGTTGGGTGGTTTGAACAGCTGCTGGACCTATACCACTCTTTCGAAGAGCGCTATATCCAGACGTTGTGTGAATTAACCCATACCTTGCCCATTTCTTCCGCCGATCGGGTTAAAGATTATGGGCTGATGTTATTCTGCAATCAGCGTAAGCAGCGGCGATCGCGATCTGGACCTCCTTGAAAAACCGTGCTTAAGTTCATACTCCCAGGAATGGTAGAAAGCCATTGCGACTTGGACATTCTGCTGGATCCGCATTTCTTGCACCTACCTCGCTTACATGAGAAGCAGTTCTGGTACCCCGGGTTGGGGACTGGGAAGACTAACATTCCCAACCTGGCTTCCGCTTTGTCGTTGACGAACTCTGCTGAGCCATGGCGTAATCAGTACCGGACTTCGATCGCGAATCACCCTGGCATGTCAATCCCTCGCCTATCCGGTAAGTTCTTCGCCCCGTAGTATATTGAGTTCAACAAATTTTGTGCTTCAATTTCATTGCTTCATACTGTCTTTAATCTTGATATCTCCGGAAATGTCTTCTACTTTTTTTCAGGCCTCTTGGGCCGCGATCGTGCTTCGATCGCTACACATACTTACAAACATTCCTTCCTCCTTCATACACCGCCTCCTGGTGTAACTTTTCCCACCGTACGACCATGTGCAACCTCCTTGCACACTTACACACCCCATCCACCTCGATCTGGTCTAGACTCCTGGCTCTTCTTCGTGCGTTTGCATCACTATGAACCTATTTCGACTTATCCGATCGCGATCGAATTCTTGTAATAAAGCGCCACAATTTAAGTCTTCTTCATCCACTTATGATGGATCGCTATTACTTTTCCATTGAACCAGAAATTGACGGTGTACTCGTTCGTAACGCGTCTTTCGACCCGATCGGACGTCCACAATCTTTGTCACCTCGAATTCACCATCATCCAACTCGCCTTCCCAGCTATCTTCCAGTAGTAAGGCTTCGTCGAAATCGACCCGATCGGACTCATCTACCTTCAGTTGACTTTGAGGCCGCTCTGGGAACATCTTCACTGGCTTTAGCTTGGACACATGTACTATCGGGAACAACCTATAAGGTGTGCCTGCGATATTTAATTTTACTGCATGATCTCCGCATTTTTTCCTTACTGGAAAGGGTCCGTGCCACATATGGGCTAACTTCCGAGCATTTCCATCCTTCACGCGATCCAAATACAACCACACTTGTGCCCCTTGATCGATCTCTTGCAGATTCCTGTCGTCATGGTGACATTTCGATCGGTCCTGGATAGCGATCTTCAATCGATCGTTCACGATTGCTCTTGCCTGTTGATACTGACGCTGTATGTTATATCTCCATCTTCTTGGATCTCGATCGCGAGGTTTGACACTTCACATCGGTGATACCGCTTCCAACGTCGATCGGGGGCCCCAGCCATGG